ACAAAAACCTCCAATATAACAAAAGTTTTCCAACTTTAAACATTTAGCCAGCACAACACCAACACAAATATTAATCACAACCTCCATGAATGTCCTCCTAGTTGCTCAAACTAACCAATACACTGTCGTATCCCACAGTAAAACTTAAATAACACAAAGGTCACTTGTCTTGTTGTGTTGTTATGAGATCATGCAGTCCACACAACCCATAAGCTGTGAGTTTTAAAATCAATTTTGCACTTACTCACCCAGGACTTTATGAGCCATCTCCACCTGCTTTGTCCTTTTGGCTACCTATTGTTGCTGTCAAAGCCAAACACAAAGCACAGTGTCATCTTCAAACTTTTCTTAAAGGTTATTATGCAAAGTTTTTACCAGTGGCTCCATAGTGTAATGGTTTACACATTCACCTAACAGGATACCTGGTCTGATCCCAGGACAAGGCACCAGGCTTGTGCCCCCCGAGTTCTGGCGTAAAAAGCTGCAGATCAAACCTGCAGAGTTACCTGCTCTGACGACCACCTGTAAATAAGCAAGCAGCCAAAAGTAGCTTTGGAATTAAAAATAATAATAAAATAAATATTCACGGTAGAATAAAAGCAAAAAGGAAAATACAAAACTGCAAAGCAACTCTAACCTAACTCAAGTAATCTCCAAACTAACAAAAACTCCAAACACTAACATGCACAAACAACTCTAATATCACCCCAGGGAGGGTTTGAGCTTCCCCCAATTTTTTAAAAAGTGGATTTACATTTAAATCAACAACAACAAAAACTTTTTCTTTATGTAAATCCAGAAATTCAATCACCACATTACAAGTCACTGATTTGAACTGTGCGGTTTTGTTTTGATCTTTTTTTGTCTTTGAGTTCGATTTCGGGGGGCAGCAGCCTGCTGTTCAACGCGTGAGCCAATTAAAAAAATAATTTTCCCATTTATATTGTTAGTTAACGTAACTTAAATTATGTTGAAAATTAAATATAATGCTATGGGTTTGGGGAACTTTGTACATTCTCTAAAAAAACAAAAGCAAACTATATCACCACTAAAAACACTTGCGTGCATTTCACTTTAGTTTTTTTACGTTTCGGTTTATTAGCTTAGAGTTAGCCAAATGGTTAGCCAAACAGCCGAAATCAGTTTAGTTGAGCCCAAACGTTCCTCCGCACTTGGTTAAAGACAAACTTTTTGTTGGCCTTAGGCCTGGAGACTCTAGCCCCGCGTTATTTTTTATATTACCTAACTTACTTCGCACCTGCTCGGTCCTCAAAAACACACGTCCTTGCGCACGCTCAGGGCTAACATTAGCTTTTAGCTTGTTACCTTCATCGATATTTTGGATATGCTACAGCTATAAGACCACACAAATAACATGAAATAAAACTCACCTCTTTCTTGGAAATTAATCTGCTAGACACGCAGACGCTTTCCTCTCTCGGTAGCGCGCACAGGTGTTTAAACACACGACGCACATAAAGGTTAAATGAGCAGGCGACACCGCAAAGCTCAAACTTGAGGTGAACAAACTGACATGAAAACGCTCACATGTTGTTTACATCTGTGCTAACGCGTCTGATTGGCCAGAGGCTTAAAGTACATTTAAAAAGATTAGTCTATATAGTTATTTGTGTCTCTTCAGTTTAGGCCCACACACTGGAGTAAGGTTACGGTTTACATGTTAAATGTCACTGCCCTTTTATTGACTTTATTTTAATTGATGTGTCATCTGGCTTTATCGATAAATCCAGGGATCATCTGCAAATCAACTAATAATCTTAAATATTGATAATAAAAATGTATTATCTCCAATTTAATACTTTTTTGGATAACCTTTTCCTTTCATAAATGAAATAATTTACTTGTATTTACTTGTATTACCTAAACTTTTATGATGTGAAACAAATGACAAATATGCAAAACACAAAGTCATCAGAATGAGGGTGAATACTTCATATAATTCCCGTGTGCAACACGGTGCATTCATGCCCCAGGTTGACTTTGTTCAGGTAATAGGTCTGTAAACTGGGGAAGCCTCAAGTTCATCTAGATGTCAAATTCTTCCCAGGCCAGCTCCTCCTCCAGGGATGGATACAATATCACTTATTAGATGATTGTGTGCAATACCTTCGTTGTAATCATCCTCAGTCAAGAACTATAAGAGCTCTACTTTTCAATATAAAGCACCTTGAGATAATTGTTGTTGCAAAATAGCAAATTCACTGAAGAAATTAACTAAATTTCTCACTTTATACACAATATCCTTTTTCTTAGTATGTCACTGTCACCGTCTCTAAAAATTAAAAATTAATGTGCAGGGGCAAAACCTGCAGACTGATTTATTCTATTCAATTAGTGTTATATGAATATTTTAAGCGAGAGTGCACCATTATGGATCGATAAATCTCAACCACCCAATACAAAGCTGCATGTGAAAAAGGAAAAGCAAAATTATAACCCCTAAAAAAAACTATTTTAAATGATGAACCAGTGCAAATTATCAAAAATGATGGAAGCAATTTTAACTACTATTATAATTTACATCTACTGGTACAAATCAGATTCTTTCTGCGGGGGGGGGGGGGGGGGGGGGGAGGATCTGAGGAAAGCTCCAACTGATCAACTGATGCTTAATTTTTATAACTGTAAGTGTATATTCTGGATTTAAATATAATTAGAGTCCCTTTTATTGAAGCCAAATAAGCCTCCGACTGAATGCTCCTCTTATAGGGGAATTGGTCTTATGGGATGTGATACAAAGATTTTGTGTAAAGCACTCTCTGGGAGACCAGATGAATGTGTGCCTAATTTGATAATAGATGGTCAACAAGGTTTTGTTAAAACGAGACAAGGCTATAATAACATAATGTACTTTTTGTTTATGAGAAAAACAATAGTAAGACACTGTGCTGTTATCACTGGATCCATGCAACCATCTCTTACAGGTGCTCCACAAATATGGACTGGGTGAAACATTTCTGAAATGGATCCGGTTATTGTATACAAACCCGAAAGCACAAGTTTTAACTAATAATAAAATATCAAAACCCTTTAATCTACAGCAGTCAACCAGGTAGGGCTGCCCTCTGTCACCAATTCATTTTGTGTTCGCAATAGAACCTCTGGCCATCGCTGTGAGAGCAAATACAGGAATATCATTTATCAGGAGGAGGAGGAAGAGACCATTTAATTTCTTTATTTGCAGATAATATTATATTTTTTGACTAATCTGAAAGATAGTATCCCTAATTTAGTAACGTTGATTAAAAAAAATGGAGAATTTTCAGGATACAAAATTAAAAATTCTAAATCAGAGTTAATGTTTCTTAATGAGGAAGAAAGAAGAAGGCCTGTTGTGGCCATTTAAAACAACTAAAGCAGGCTTTAAATATTTAGGCACTAGGATCACCTCAAGCCTCAAGGACATCCCCTTGTGGGACTAATAAAGGTATATCAAAGAACCTCAAATTATGTTCCCCTTGTAGAAAAGGTCACGGAAACGCTAAACCATTGGTTAGAGTTTCCGTGCCCAACTAACATCAGCCACCAATTATTTTTGCCCAACAACACCTCCCAGCCTGGGTTGACATTGAGCAAGAATCTGTTTCAGATCTTCCCTTACACACTTTTCTACATCCTTCAGACACTAAGACGTTAAAAAAAAGAATACAAAGAACCCTTTCTTGAAAAATACAATTATAATTTGGCATGCAGCACATAAACATGTGGATGATCCTCCATCGCTTTTGCAATTCACCCCTATTAGGGGAAATGAAACATTTACTCCTGGTAAAAATGGAGGATTTAAAATATGGAAAAATAAAGGAATTCAAAAAGTTAAAGACTTATATGCAGATAGCAGGTTGCTCACATTTGATCAGTTATGTAAGAAGTATTTAATAATACGCCCAAAGCACTTTTTTAAATATTTACAATTGAAAAATTATTTGTCATCAAAACTGCAAAAGATTGCTGAACTTCCACCATTAACAAAAACAGAAGAGACATGCTTTAAGAATACAAAAGGGAAAGGTTTCCTCTCTATATATATTATCATTTATTGATAATATATATAGATAATATATATATCATTTATTGATGCTTTCCTCCACAGACTCAGCAGCAGATAACCTGGATGCTTGGAGACTTAAGATCCAGGAGGACGGATGAAAATGACTAGAACCAGGCTTGCTTAAAAGCACAAAAACAAACAATAAACACACACTTTAAACTCCTGCAATATAAAGGGCTCACGAGAACCTATATAACACCCGCCAAGTTCCATCATGTGTCCAATGATATTCCAGACATCTTTACTAAACGTTTAGTTGAAAAAGGAACTCTTCTCCTTTGTCTATGGGAATGTCCTAAAATCCAGGAATTTTGGAAAGATATCAAATGTCTGTCTGAAGTGTTTAAGGTAAAAATCCCTTTCAAGGGTAAACTCTGTGTACTTGGAATATATCCAAGGGAATTTAAACAACCGAAAAAAACCGACAAAATTACTGGACTATGGACTACTTCAAGCCACAAAAGCCATTGCACTGTTGGGGGGAGTATGGATGCTCCCTCCATGGGACTCTGGAAGAAGGAAATACTCTCTAGGCCTGGAAAGACTAACATATACTGCCATGGGCAAACAGTGGCACTTTGTGAATATGTGGAAGCCATATATGGATATTTTAGGGAGGTGAAGGATGTTTATGAGAAAGAAGGAAAAGAGGGGAGAACCTTGTTTACCCAAATTCCTCGTATTACTGTGAGAACTATGCTTATTTGTACATTTGAATATGATGTAGGCAGGTTTGATGTATGGATGGGTGTGTGAATGTGAGGGTGTTCAAATGTATGTTTGTATTGTAAAACACAACTTTTTAATTAAAAATATATGGGGGAAAAATACAATTAGAGTCCTGACACTGGACTGTATTTAAATTTGTCTGATTATGATTATTATATATTTTTTTTTAAATAAATGGCCAAAGACGACAGTAAGAATCAGCCATGGAAAAAGAACGTTTAATGCAACAATATAACCATGTTCATAATTTTTAGTTACTGAGCAAAATCTTTAAATATTTACACCAACGCTGAGTAAATATTTCAAAGAACAGTACCTAGAAAGTGCAGATGCTTCTTTGTTACTTCGTAAGTAAAACTGACATAGTAACAAATCATCGCTACTGTAAAGTAAAAGTGCAATAAAAGACGCACAAAAACAAAAGGTCCAAAAACAAAGAGCAAAGATAGAAATTGAGTCTCATTGTTATTGGATTGGAAGTCTGTTGTCTGCTGCGTTACAACCCCAGAGAGGAGACCGATTAACAGGAACACATGTAAAACACTGGCAGCCACGAGTGCCAACCCCAGCCTCCTAGTAGATCCACCAATGGTATGCTTTTGAAAATCTTAGAGGACTTCTTTCTCTATTTGAATTTTCCAAAAGATTAAGAAAACTTCACCTCTGTCCCCGAGGTCAGTGAGATTCAACGTCACCTGAGTGTTTTAGTAAATTAACCTGTGGTATAAATTTGAAAATCCGACATCACCTCGAGTTTTCACATTCACACACTCGGGTGGTCCTGGCCGCCCACCCTCAGGGTGCTCCCATCAGGCTTTTACAGCAAAGGAGTAAAAACTAACCATATGCAGAGTAAACATGAGACAAATATGAAGTAGCAAATACCTAAAATCCAAAAATCCAAGTCAGTAATTCAAGTTTAAGACATTCTTCAGTGATTCAGACTTTCACAAAACAAAATCACTGAAAACATGCATAAGTTTTTAAATTAGGAGGAACGTGCATGCATTTGAAAGAAAAGTAAATCAAAAAGCCAGAAAGAAAACCTAAATACTCAAATATATACATATACACAAATATGTCTTGAAAGTGTAGTTTTTCCTGACGCGTCTATAAACCACAAAGCTGAGTTTACGGACACGGACTCCTTTCAAAGATCTTTGGTATCTTATCGAAGCGCTTGTGCATCAGACAGTTCTTGGCCTGCCATTCATCCAGGGTCATCAGTGCTGCTGCTGGCCCAAAGTGTCTCCAGTAATTTCTGAAAATAAGGGCAGAAGACGGCGTAACTATGAAGTTCAACATCAACAAAATGGGTGTCATGGCAGTGATTATCAGCATTCTGTTGTCGGAGGCAGTCTGCTCCCGGCGCTCCACTACATGCTGGTCTTTTAACCCTGGAGTCTTTAGTAAGTTCTTATAACACAAAATAATGATAAAAATTAAATAAAAAGAATGAATAAAATCAACAGGCAAATATGCCACACATAAATCTCATAAATAACATTAATTATTAAAAACAAGACAATAAATGTCTCCCACAGGCGATAACTGTTGCTATAAATAAGATGAGGGTAATACTTCATGACTTAAAGTTACTTTAAGTGCTGCTGCTTATTTCGACAGAAATTAAACCTATGAAACTTTAAACTGAGTTAACCTGGGATAAAGTACAAAAACATGAGTTTTTTGCATCACCAACTGAACACATGCAAATTCCTGCAGCAGCAGCGCTGTGTGTTTAGGCAGAAAATAGCTTTAATTAAAAACATCCGAGTATATCACACAAGTTAAATATACAGGGTTGACACTGAGGTGCCCTCTTACTGTACTTTATTTTTCCCCTCTGCAGAGGATGTGCAGATAGTACAGGTGTGCAACTACTGCAGTGTGTAGTTGCTGGAGGTTTTTAACTTTTTTTGTTCTCTGTTGTATTATTGAAGGGACTACAAAACAATACAAATTTTAATTTACAATATAAAGTGCCTTGAGATAACTGTTCTTGTGATCTGGCACTGTAAAAAATAAGTGAATTGAACTTGTGCTTTACATTGAGGGATTGTACCATGAGGCAGCCACAGGCAGGAATGATTTCCTGTGTTGTTCAGTTGTGCATTTAGGTATTCTCAGACTCTCACCAAACCTGCTCATGTGACTGGCCAGCACGTCATTGAGTGGGTTGGAGGAAGTGTCCAGCATTGTCCTCAACTTTGACTCAAAGTCTAGCTCCATCCCCACAGTTTTACTGCCCTTGCAGATCAGTTTATGGACCCTGTTGGAACCCTTCAACCTGCTGCCCCAGCATGCAAGTAAACATAACCTGCTCCTGACAAGTGTATCCATTCAGCATAATTTACTATGCTCATCCAACCAGGAAGAAAAGCCACCTTCATAACACTGAACCTGCATGAAACATCTAGTTAACCCATTAATCTTGCTTTGCATCATTCCTCAGATCTGCCAAATGATTGCTTGAAAGTGAGACTTCAACATAGTTATAAAGAACTGCAGAGAGCGCGATGTACCTGCGGGTGAGGTCAGAGGGATGCTGCCACTCGCTGCTTTTCACGCCTGCTGATACACAGCTCATCAAACTCCGGAGCTCAGTTGTGACACCTGGAGGAAACAAATGTCTTTACCCTGCATAGTTTAAGTATTTTTAGTTTGTTTCATTTGTTTGTTTTAAAATGTCTATACTACACTCCTCCACAGTACTGTAGACAGAGCTTAAAATGTAAAAAATAAGCTGTATCGTGCTGAAATTTAAAAACTGTTCTCTGGTGTTCCTTCTCAAAATCATGTTCTAATAAATCTATATAATGTGTAAATTAATGGATATTTTAAAAAGGAATGCATAACAAAACAGTAAACAGGAGAAAGGCCTGATAATTTAGATATCAGAGTGCTCCATTCTCTTTGCGCAGACACTAGGTCAGCTTCTTACCATTACTGACTCCTGGATTCTCATACATATGACTGACAACTGAATGCACATAGAGCTCCTTTTCCTGCTCCCACTGTAATTCACTGCCGAAGACCATGGATCTAAAGGAAAATAAAAACACCAAGTTCAATCTAATCATGTCAATCATGAAATTATGAAACTATAAACACAAAGCCTGCTCAGCTAAGAAAAGATACATTAAGCTGCAAGAAAAAAACAAAACAAAAAACAATAAGGCAGATACAGACAACCTTGACATCACAAAGCCATGAAAAAAAAAAAAAGAAAGAAAATGTGTGAGTTACAGTAACATAGCTCCCTCTAGTGGTGGCAGTGATTACTACAATACCTCTGAGAGGCGCTCTTGCCAGGCTGAAGGGTTCTGATGGGCTTTGTCGCCTCCGTCTTTGGGACAGAAACAACACTGCTGTCCGGGGTGCTTCTGTTTGAGTTCTGTACTTTGGATTTAACCTGAGAAAAAAAAAGTCAAAAGGGCAATTTGTGTAATGTCCAAGATTTACGTAAGTGATCCCCAATATTACAGTTGATATTTATATTTAAAAAGTAATCCAGGCAAATAAGATAAAGGCTGAGGTAACATACCTGTACTTTGAGGGGAAGAGTGGCTTCATAGCTGGTTTCCACAGCAGTGTCTTCTTTCTTCAGTGTGCTTTGGACAGGCTCAGTCACATTTTCCTGCACCTCCTCCAACACCTGACAGCTCTGCTCTGCTTTCAATTTGTCCGTTTCGCTGTGGCACATAGAGGATTCAAATATTGGAGGACCGATATCCCACACCCCCTCCAATTTACAACTTTCCAAACAATTAGTGTTCACGTGCTCCAAGAGAGGTTCGCAACTACTTGGGATCAGGTTGTCTACTGTGACGGTAAGGCATCCAGAGGTTGCAGTTTGTTCATGTACCCGTGGGTCAGATGAAGTTTGGGGATGATAGTCACCCTTGGCTGAGTTAGTTGTAAGCTGTTTGGAGTTCACCAACTCGGCCTCTTTATTTTCATTGATAAACGAAAGCGATATATAGCCTTTATCCTCTTCCACGTCTTTTACACTGAGACACGTTTCCCTCTTCACCTCATCTGCTGGTTCTTCTGCCACAGTGAGTCCAGCAACGGGAAACAGCCCATCTTGAAAGATTTGGCAACTGCGACTCATGTAGCCGTCTTCATCTTCCAAAAATCTTAAAGGGCTATCGGGATTGAGACACAAGATGTCATCCACGTCACAGTCAAATGTCGGTGAAGGATTTAAAACCCTCTCATGCATCAGATCTTGTGCTTTGGTCTCTTTTTCGAGAGATCCTCCTCTTTCTGTGGAAGGCCCATATTTTGCATCTTTTGAGAGCAGCTGAGAGCTCACACTTTCTTTTATTTCACTCCCAACATCTTGCGTCTTAGCTGTCAGTTCAGGATTCAATGTGGAAAAAGGGGATGCCAATTCCTGTTTCACAGGAGTGCTGTAACATTCCACAAAACACCCCAGGTCAGGGGACAAAGCCTTTGGATCAAAGGGCTTTTTTAATGGGGTCACATAACAGTCGTCAGGACTGGATTCATGCAGTTTTCTTTTATTTGTGCCATTGTTAATGATCTTAATCTTAAAATTAATAAATGGCTTAGAAAGCCGTCTCAACTGGTGCACATCAGCTTTTTGGTCACAACTGATGATCCCTGGACAGACAGAAAAAGGTTTCAACTGGTCAAATATGGGTGGACTGAGTCTTCTGAATATATTTGTGGGATATTTGTCATCTAGGTCTATTGGAAAAAGAACGGGAAAAGCACCATTTTCTTTTTTTTAGTCATTAAATAATTGTTCAAACAGAAGTTTATATCAGATTAACATCTTTTTTTTTTCTCCTTAATGCATTAATGGGCAACACTATACAACTCTTGGAAGAATATGAACTCCTGCGTGTCAACAGCATTTCCCCAAGACTCACTGTGGATTCTTTGCGCCATGTCCTTTTCTGTGCTCGTGATGAATGTGTCCTGGATTCCTATTCCTTCAGTTTAAGGGAAGAGAAAAAATGTACGCCTCTGTGTTTACATCAAGTCAAGGGCGCATGTTGAAAAGCACAGAAAATAAAGATTACACTGTTCCATGGAAATTTCTTTCATTTTTTCCTCTTTTTTTGTAAGTTCTAGGTTTTTAGAAACTCAGCAAGTTTATTCTGTTCATCTGGATGCAGCCTTTCCAGGGGGAGAAATATTTCATCACTCATCCAAGTAACTTCCTCAGTCTCAGCTGACTGCAGGCATGTCAGTATACAGCTGTACCGTTTATAAGCTTGAGGAAACCTGCAGTCAGCTGAGACTGAAGTCGCCATTTGGATAAGTGATTAAAAGCTTTTCCCACTGAATCTGGATGATGATATTTCAGGATTTCCCAAACTGAGTTACTGAACATGCATTTAAAGTTACCAAAAAGATTCAGACTTAAGTTTTAGTTTATGAATTAGCATTTTTATTGTTTTGTTTAAAAAAAAAAAAAAAAAAAAAAAAAAAAAAAAAAAAACTTTGGCTCTATGTTAATGCAGACATCATCATACTCTGCCCTGATTCATATTTAATCCATGCTTATTGAATACTGAGCAAGACACATGAAGCTCCAGTCATCCTTTGGAGAGCTTAACAAGTCCTAGCCACAAATGCCATTAGTGAGCTCTTAGATTAGTCTGTGAATGGGTGGATGACTGGATGTGTATAGAGCTTTGGAGTCCTTAGGGACTAGTAAAGCGCTATATAAATACAGGCCATTTACCATTTAGATTATTATTGAGATCATATTTTTTAAATTTATGTGCAAACAAAAAACAAAAAACAAAAAAATGGAAACACTATTGGTGTGGAGCAGGGGTGGGGGAACTCCAGGCCTCAAGGTTTTCAATATCACCCTGGGTCAGCAGACCTGAAGCCAATGATTTGTTCATTACTGGGCATGTGGAGAAGGTAAGACATGTTAAGGAGGTAATTTACCCATTTGAATCAGCCGTTTCGGATCAAGAACACATCTAAAACCTGCAGGACACCAGCCATTGAGGTCTGAAGTTCCCCACCCCTGGTGTAGAGGGAAAGCTCTACCAAGGCCCACACTGAGAAATCAAAGTCACATCAAATCATCTCATTCAGTCTTTTCACATACAATTTGGTCAAACCACAACTATGCAGATATTTTACTCCCCATTTGAATTGTATTAATAGCAATAATAAAAAAAAAACTAGCTCTACCTTCATAAATATAACAATTACCAGTATTAATACAATGAAATCAAAACGATAACCTGCCAAAAAACAAACAAAAATAACAACGTGTGTACTCACTTGTGGCAAAGGACTTATTTTGACCCATTAAGGTAATAAGGCGCATTTACACTGAGTCAATCACTTTCAATTTAAAGACCAAATACCGAAAACGCTAAAATATTTCAACCTTAGAATATGACTGCATTACATAATAAAATTTCACACAGCGAATACCACCAACAAAATTAAATAAAACTAAATTATGACTTCTGTAAGTCTGAATCAATGATGTTTGTAGCTATCGCGGATGGCAGGCAAACATTTCTGACACTTCATGATTACTACACCTCGGGTGTATTTAAGGTAAGAGAACTTTTTTAATATTACTTAAAAATAGTTCCCATAAATAATGGTAGCTGATTTATAAAAGCTTAGTTTATTACATGGCTTAAAGCTAACATTAGCTATTAACACACTTAGCTGCCAAGTCCGCTACCCGTTCGAGCAACACCGAGACCCCCGAGCGGACGCCGAGAACCAGAGGAGCGGATGAGAGCGGTACGCTGCCCGTCTGAGAGACTCAGTAACGGATTTTTTTATTTTTATTTTTTAAAACAACTAAATTTAACGGCTTTAATATCAAACCAAACTCACCCGCTGAAGCTCTCACCTCCCGCCCTACTTCCTTCCTTCACTCCCGCGTGCAGGTGTTTAACAGGCGACAGGGAACAGTCGACCTTAATGGGTTGGCGGACTGTTCAGTTCAAACTTCCGGTTGCAAGAATTTAAACTTTCTTCAAATAACTTTAACTTTATTTATGTTTTTAAAATCTGTTAATTACTTATATTTATTTTTTGATTTAAAAACTTTAATAATGAATTAATTAATATTTTAATTACAATTATAATAATAATTAGACCTTTATTCTGTGACATTGCCGGGGGAAATTTGGGACATGTCCTTATTTAGGTTCTAGCTTGCATTTATTTTGGGGTTTGGGATTACAAAGCTTATGATACTGGAATTAATTTAGATGTACCTCTATCTACATAGTGCCCATGTACATTATGTGTACAGTTTCTTTCTAATATGACTGTTTTGCAGGTTCTGCAGCTGTGCTCCTGGTTGGACTACGTTTGACTCTCGCTGTTTAATTTTCTACCACCAAACAAAAGTATCTCACAAAACATAATGAAATGCTAAATGGATGCTAAAAGAGTCAGTCAAGCATAATTTCATCAAACAAAAGCCAAGGCCCCAAATGCAGGCCTAGAAAGCAGTCTGCAACCATCTGTCAACCACTAAGGAATAATCTGCAGTCCCTGTTAAACTGCTGGTGAGTGGTTGCTGATGGTTGATGGCAGTTGCTGTAGAAATGATTCCTAAATCAATGGTTAGTGAATGGCTGCCAGTCAATTAGTGGCAAGTCAAAGAAGTATATGAGGTGAAGATGTGAAAAGTGTTACACAATTTGGAAACTTTCCCAGCCCCCACAGAAGGACCAGGATTTTCAAACCTCAGGACAAATTCTCCGAGTCCAGAGTGTGATTTCATAGAACAGTATTGGCTGCTCTTGGAGGGAATCGTGAGCAGAAAATATAAGCGATCACTATAATCAAAATTATACTAAAAAGCAAAAAGCTTTACTTCTATTGTACTGCTGATTTACCTGCAGACAAGAAGAAAATCCATCTTTACCCATGAATAAACATTTTTCCTTTTGAAAAACTTCAAGCAGTTCAATCAGTGAATGCAGTGACATTCATCATGTCTGGTCCTCGAATCCAGCATTTTTGTGTTAACCTTCTTTAACAAAAATAAAAATCTTTTGTTTTCATACTTGTCTGCTTACTATGAGAAACTTGATATTCTTTGTGATATTCAAAGTTAAACAGCATGAATCATTTTGAGTCACTGGATTAACATCACATTACATCTTTCAGTTTGCTTTTCAGTCAGGTGTTGAGTCTGTGTTGGTGCGTGGCAGATTCAGACGTTTGATGAACAAACAGAGAGAAAGCAGCATGACCTGTGGCTGTATACTACCCACACAACATAATTGTGTGAATATAAAACACCCGACAGAGCATCAGTGTGCATGAAAAGTGTTTAAAACCTGGAAAGTACTGATCTGCTCATGTGCGACAGACGATTACTTCCTGTTTATGCCCCACTGGTTGAGACACATCACACCCTCTTCACCTTACTTACAACAGATTTTATGCAATCACCCAATCATCACCCAGACTGATGTCTGACGTCTACACTGGGGTTACTCTATAGTTCAGTCACATTGACTCACTGTGCGAGTTAAAGAAATAAAACAAAAAACAAAACATTAAATGGCAGAATTAGTTTTTTAATTGTTAGTAACAGAAAACATTTGGTCACTATTTACTGTTTTAAAATTACAGGATCAAATTGCCAGTGAGTTTTCTGTAATTTTATGAATCTATACATTAAAGTTTAAGCCAAGAGAGTCATACATGTGGTACAGTGCAAGTACAAAGAGTTCTCCTTTGGCTTTTGTTTTTGATTAGGGTGTAAGTGTGGCAGCAAAATGTGAGCAAAAACTCACATGACTGACTTTGATGTAAGTGGTGCCCCATCTGGGAAATCAGACTGTTTCATGTGATACAAGCTGCTACTGTGCAGCACACAACTGCTGTGCATATGATGCCTGACAGGATCTATGCTAATGCACAAATCTATGGTGTGCCCTACACAGAGAGCTTCACCTCTGAGCTGTTGTGTTTGATTATGTGTGATGAGCAGTGTGCTCGGAGCCATTGTTTACTATCAGGCTGAGAGTGCTCTAATGTAATGTAATTGCATCACCAAGGCTCCTTCTGTTTGTCATTACTTCCTCTTTGTTTTCTGGGAAACCAGTCACGCCACAAATGTTTATACACTCTCTCTGTTATTCATAGTATTAGTAACTTTTTGTGCAGCTTAATCTCATGACTTAAACTCCTCCTGACTTAGTGAAAAATGTGAGTGAATAATTTCATAGCAGTGCAACTTTCTGCTGGGTGGATGTTATGGATGTTATTTTAAGCTGTTCATCAAGCCCTCGACCCCTTGAATTTCAAAAGTCCAAATGATTCTTAAACTGAAATGAAAGCAACTCAGGAGGGTTCAAAGAAAACAACAAAGAGGTGAAGGTGCTAAGAACGGTTCCCAGAAGCCTTACCTTTCAACCAGCTTGTGGTCTGAATGGTTTTGTGGTCTGACCTACAGTAAACCTACTGAATCTTACTGGAAATTTTACACATGCATTGTTTGCCATACATGGACACATCAACTCACAAGGCTCGACTTCTGAGAAACCCTTTGGTGGTAAATCACGCTGTGGTGACTGAAGATGATGCAGATGAGGTTAATTCAACTTGGAAGGATTAAATAGGGCTAAATACTAAAATTCAGATCCCGTGTGTGAGAGAGAGCTGGTTGATGAGCTAATTAATTCTTGTGGTGGCGGAAGAAACCAGAGCTCTGGGAGAAAGGACAGGAAGAGCAAAATAATCAAGTCAATCAAATCAAGTCAAGTAAGCAAATAATCACGCCGTAATGTTCTTCTGAGAAATCTCAGATCTTGTGTTCAGGTGGATGCTACACATCTAGACCCTCCTTCCATCCCTGAATTGCCACAGTGCAAACCAGTGAGAGTGGACGCCATGCAGGACAGAAAGAGTCCAGGAGCGCTGGAGAAGAAGCGCAAAGCACCTAAAGTGCCAGCTCTCCAAAATCCCCCCCACTGGAACCTATTCTTCCACAAACTACACCTAAAACATCCATCCATCTATCCACTTAACTGCTTGTCGAGCTCAGGTTTGCAGGGTAAGCTGCAGCTTATTCCAGCGATAGGCCCTCAAATTGGTGTGTCAAACTTAATTTGCTTCCTTTTATATTCCCAAATGGGCCAGTAAAACCACTACATACGGTAATGACATATACTGAAGAAAGATTATTCCCCTTTTTTAGTGTATATTAAAGTGGATTAAAAAAAATCTTCCATTTAATAAACCTTTTATCAAACAGATAAAACAGACTTCTTAAGAAAAGTCAGTCAGTGTCTCAACAAACATGCATAAAATATGGATGAATGGTTAATAAAAACACTGGCTTTTGTCTTTCTGTAAGAAATAAACATTTAAGGACTCAGAAGAAAAGTCCTCCACCCTTTAGACTCATAACTTTTATCTTGTCTGGATGTCTGGAGGCATCATATTGTATTGTCAGGTATGGCTTGTGCATGAACTCTGATAGGCTGAGATCCCAAACATCTCTGCATTAGCTGCATATCCCAGAAGGAGAAGGAAGGAGGCCCACTTCCCCCCACTGACAACGCCCCGTAGCACCACCGAGCCCGAGGCAGCACCCACATTTCCCCTCACTAAAACACTTTTTTGTACAGTGATGCATGAAGAGCAGAACTTCCAGACAGCACAGCTGCCGTTTCCTAAACAGAGCAAAAGCTAAACAATACTGACAACAGTTGACGTGGTGAAAGTGAGATGGTGAGATCAACGATGCTGGAAACAATGTGAAAGGGAAAGAAGGAAGTTCTGGAAATTTCAGAGGAAATTTCACCTGCTATGTTTTTTGTTTATAGAACAAATCCACAGGAAACCTCATACCCCATGTAAGGCTTACATACAAAGAAAACACAAGGCTCTGTTTTTTCCTCCATTTTGATGGAGCTGATCTGAGGTGACTCCGGGCCTGGAGGTTAGAGACCCCTGTGTTAACCTAACAAACACGGCTTTGGATGCTATACAAAAAAACAAACACGGCCAGCATGTGTTCAACTGCTTATTAATGCAAATAAAGATGCTAATGTGTGTAGACATGGTCAACACAACCTGTATATATCTATACCTATTAAAGTGGCCAGTGAGTGTATATACACACTATAAATGTGTATATACACCCAGTGATGTATCAGCAAAAAAGCAATGATGTGATGTCACAGGGCTTTACTTCCTGTACATGACCCATTGGCAGAAACACATAGTTTACAAACATGTAGATGATTATCAGACAAGGATCCTATATCATCACAAGTTTATAAACATTCATGGCAGTAAATGTAAAGCAATGACAACAAAAATGATCAAATAAGAGTATTATTGTTGTTATTATTGGCATCATCATCCTCAATAATAATAATAACAACTAGAAAGAAAGCTTTCAAGTGCATCACAAAAACAAGATGTTATCAGAAAACTGAATGTACTTGCTGACAGATGTTTAGTTCAGATTCTTTTGTCAGCAATTGTGATTTGGACAGACCCCTCCTGTCATTTCACAGTTACTGGGATCTTTCTATTTTTAGAAGCGTCACCAATTCCCGTAATAAGCTTTAAAAGGTTAAAAGAGTTCATTTGCGGTACCCTGTGCAACAACAGTCGATACATAGTCACCCAATCACCACCTAGACTCAGCTCAGCTCATGAAACCATATATGGCTTAAGATTGGCTCTGGCGTTTCTATTGTTCTGTCAGGAAAAAAAAAAGAGTGTGTGAGTAGCACACGAGAGCTGGCTGCGACACAAACACAAAAACACAACACTGTAAATCACCCTGGGTGAGAACGAGCCAGGCAGTGGGTCCAACGTGTAAAACCGCAAAACAGGAGGGCAACTGCAATAAGAGGGAACAGAGAGTTTAAAGAGTCTGAAAGAATAGAGTCGTCTTACTGAAAAGCAATTTCTGTTTTTGAGTTGGTGTACAGGGGTGTA